GGTTTTGGGTGCCTTAGTGTTTTGGGGGGCATCGAACACTTGAATGTCGACAGGAGGTTTGTGACGGTACAGATTGTCGTTCTGTACATATTGTCGCCGTACAATATGTACCTATCCTCACTGCACATCGGTATATTTTGTCATGGACGACAATATGTGCGGAAAAGATCCTTCATGTCCTCCTGTAGAATGGACGACAAAATGTGCAGTCATACATCCGTAAATATTGTTGTCGGCGACAATATGTACTGTGAGCATTTTGTTGACAATACATTGTTTTGAAGAATATTCACTGGGGTCTAGAAGAGAGAGATTCTGTGGAACTTTTAAAATTTTTATCTTCTCCCATGATACTGGTCCGATTTCAATCAAATTTGCCGTTAAGCATCCTCGAGTTAGGGTATAAAATTTGCTCAACTCAAGGGTCACGTCCTCTTTTAAGGGGAGATTAATTTAAATACCCTAGGGCAGAGAAGATTTTTAAAGAATTTAAACACTTTTACTATCTGATCAACAGATCCCCGACTTAACACCTGAACCCTTGACCCAGGGACCATGAATTTCACAATTTTGGAAGAGGTGCCTTTGATCATCATTACCATGCATTTATTTTATTTGCTTAATATCCTGGAGCAGAGAGGAAGATTTTCGAACAATGTATGTCCACTATATGATCAATAGAGCCCCACCCTAAAACCATTTAACCCCTGACCCCGGGGCTATGAATTTCACGATTTCTGAAGGTTGCACTATTTTTTATGGTTTTAGCCCTACGTCTCAGGCCCCAATGACCATGAAATTCGCAATCCTTATATATGTATCCCTTCACCAATTGATGCTATATGCCAAAATTGATTGAAATTGGTTCAGTGGTTAAAAAGAAGAAGCTTAAAATGTCTAAAAGTTTACGATTGACAAAAGCAGACAGCAAGTGTCCACTGATCAGATACATGAACATAAGTGTATAAATCAAGAATCTCAAAGGAACCGTTTAACTCGCTCTTCTCTGATAGATAAATGGTAGCTGGACCAGATAAGAGACAGAGAAATTGTTGATGAGTTAGAAGATGATGACTGGAAAGCTAATAGTGTTTTTAAATTAAATTAAATGCAGAACCGACAAAAGCGGATTCAGACATGCATGCAAGGCATACTACCTCCCTGGAGAGAGAGAGAGGGACAGAGACAGAGATGTTCATATATTAGGACACTCGAAATTAATTCTAAAAGATTCTTTTGAATAAGATGATACAATTGAAAAAAATAAATTTTTTTTTGTTTGTTGACTTTGAAAAAAATGAGATGAAATGGTTTGAAAATTGTCGGCAACAAACGGTAAAATAAAAACATCACAGTCTCGAGTTGTAAACAATATTCACGCATTTACAATGAACTACTAGTGCCACTTTGTGACCGTGCAATATTTGTTTTCAAATATTCAGAATAATTTAAACAGAATTAACTTTAATTAAATACGAAAACTAATCTAACCTAGGTTAAACCGATAGGTAAGGACGTCAACTTTAATAATAATGCTCAATGGCCCTGAGTTCCAAGTCAAATAGATTACAGTTTTCAGAATAAAGTTTTTTTTCTGATAGACAACTTTCAAATTTAGAAGGTTTTTCCATTTAGAGATCATATAGGGTCAATCTACATAAGGTTCTGTTTTTCCTCACTACATCAGTGACAGGTTTGGTTTTGGTCAGCACTGGAATGTTAATATTACATTGCTGAAACCTGATTAATGGATTCAAGTTGTCTGTTCACTGCACTTGGAACCTGTCGCATGTTCACCTGCACGTGACCTTCCAGGTGAATTATAGGTCTTGTTTTTTTCTACTTTTGACTAAAAAAGATTAGGAACTTCAACATGATACAGTTAGCTCTGAAAAGTTATTTCATTTCACCTGCACCTGATAGACTTCCACTCAAGTGAATATAACAAACAAGCTTATAGAATCGGAGGTTGGAGTGCATTGGGGGTTGTCCCCCGACTTTTTTTTCCTATCGTAAAAACCATTAATTTAGTTTAGCCCCACCCCCCACCCCCAGTTCCATTAAGTTACATGTAGTAAACATAAAAGCCATTTGCAGGTGATAGCAGAATACAACATAAATAAGGAAAGTTGACGATAGAAAATTGACGTCATCTCTGTCGTCATACAGTTTAGTTGTTAGTTGGCCCTTATAGTCTGTAGTCGGTAAAACATCCAAATGCTAAAAAGGTGTTGCTTTGTAGTTTCTTTTATTTTAAGTTCAATGGGCTAGAGGAAGTCGATATATGAATTGAAATAATTATTGTTTATTAATAAAACGTTGATATATCTTAATGTCGACTTGAAGGCCACAGTAAGTGTTTTCTTCTCACGTATCTCTAAGTTTTTGAATAAATTCTGCTCCATAGGAATATGAAAACCGATCGGGTAATAAAAGGGCACAATCATATAATAAAACAGGTATTTCTGTTTTTCCAGTACATACAATGATTTAATCACCCTCGAAGTACAATATTGTACATGTGGCTAAATCATCGTATTGATCTCCAAAACAGTAAGGATTATACATGGATATGTATTACCTATATAAACAGTTGCTCTGCTGTTCTTTGAGCTCCGGCTAGGAGAAATGTATAGTTTGATTTTAAAGCATATAAAGTTACTTTCTAGAGCCCCCTGGTTTTATTTTGAATAATTGTTTTAAATTATGCAGGTAAAAAAAATACATGAACTTTCAAACAAGAGGCCCATGGGCCACATCGCTCACCTGAGCACACTGGCTAGGAAGAAGCAGAAATCAGTTCAGTATTTAAAAGTTTTACGGGGGGAGGGGGCAAACTTAAATTTACACTACCTCAAGATGCTTCAATATCAATATTACTAATCATGGCTTTGCTGTTCTTAAACAGAAGAATTTTAAAGATTTTTTTCTTATGTATTCCTATGTAAAACTCCGATTGCTCATTGTGGCCCACCCTACCCACCGTAAATTTGAACAAATTTGAATCAACACTACCTGAGGATGCTTCTGTAATAATATGATTAATCATGGCTTTGCTGTTCTTGAGCAAAAGATTTTTTCAAGATGATTCCTATATATTCTTATGCAAAACTTTGTCCTGCTGTTGTGCCCTAAGAGGGGTCATTATTTGAACAAGCCTGATTCTACAATACCTAAGGATGCTTCTCTATAAATATGACTAATAATGGCTTAGTTGTTCTTGAGAAGAGGATTTCAAAGATATTTCCTATGTAATGGTATGATCAGGTTCTTACAAGGGATATACAGGGTTTCCTTTTACTCTGTCTGAGTTAATGATTGGAATAATTATTAAGACAGCTCTGTCTGAGAGTATGTCACACAGTACTTAAATTTTCTCTTGTCTGGAGATGGGGACTGGGTAAGGTACTATTTGCATCGTGTTTCTCCCCTAGGTTCCCATTGATAGATAAGAACCAGTTGTCTCAATCTTCTTCAGATTTACTACACCCAGAGCTTAGCAGCAATTCCCTAGGATACTTGCCACAGGTCTTTATAACTTTTATACTTTATTTTGCTCTTAACCTTAAAGTTTTCCATCCTCTATCCTTAAATGTCCATCACATACATAATACTCTGATATTAATTTAAAGCATTTACAGTTGAAAAGGATTTACCAAGAAAAAATTTTAAAAATGTAATTAACTGAGCAGTAAGTCCTTAACAAAGATTGCATTGAAGTCTACGGAGCAAATTTTTTAAAAATAAAAATTCAAATAATATCAATAAATACTGTAAAAATGCACTTAAACACATTAGAAATGGAATGACAATTGAAAACAATTTTTTTAACCAGATAAGTTTCTTAAAATTGATCTTTTTATTAATTAAAAACATAGAGAGATAACTCTTTCCAAAATTCAAGGTCATAAATTAGGACATACCCCACCCTTATATGCTAATAGTAAAAAAATGGGAATTATGTCTAAATATATTGAGTATTCAACACCTACCATCTGTTATGTATTCAATTTCATTGAATCTTTTGCTATAAGGATAGAATACCTTAACTTCTTTATTGCTGATTCATCTTCCAACTTCAACAGCTACCTTCTGAATGCCTGGCTTTCCCAAAGCTTTGCCTTATGTACCCTTAGGCTAGTCCAATCCAATGGTTGTCAGGTCATTCCACTATCTGAAGTCTTCAATGCTTTTTAATCAAATGCCCCTTAACCATTACACCTAAATATTCCTATGTAAACCTTGACCCACTGTTGTGGCCCCGCCCTACCCCCAGACGTCATGATTTGAACAAATTTGAGTCTACACTACCTGAGGATATTTCTATATTAATATAACTAATCATGGTTTTGCTGTTCTCAAGAAGAAGATTTTTAAAGACATTTCTGATATATTCATATGTAAAACTTTGACCCCCTCTTGCAGGGGTTATGATAAGAACTAATTTGAATCTAGAGTACGTAATGAAGCTTTCACATAAGTATCATCTTTTTTTGCTCAGTGGTTCTTGAGAAGAAGATTTTTAAAAGAAGCAACCAAATTTACGAATTCTTTATTATCTCCCCTTGAAAGAGGGCGCGGCACTTCCTGTGAACAAACTTGATTCCCCTTCACTCAAGAATGCTTTGTGGCAAGTTTGGTTGAAATTGGCCCAGTGGTTCTTAAGAAGAAGTCAAAAATGTGAAAATGTTTACAGACGGACACCGGACACTCTTTGATCAGAAAAGCTCACTTGAGCTTTCGGCTCAGGTGAGCTAAAAAGAGAATAAATGTCAGTTATATTACAGCTAATCAAAATATATGAAGCAATTTATGATGTTAAAATTCCAGTGTCAAGAAATATCATCATGCTTTCAACAATGACTCAGATTCTATTTTGTGTGACACCTCTTTGGGCTTTTGGTAAGATTATGTCGCAATGTTCTAATAAATGGTACTTTTAAATATTTTCTAAAAGATTCGATACCAATCAAAATGTACGATGATATATATTCAGAAATATGCCTTACTTAAAGTTTATACTATATTGTTTATTAGAAAATCTTGCCTTAAGGAGACCTACGTGGATGGAGAATATTTTTCCTGGTAAAATTGTAGAGTGGGGAGCCTCAAAGGCAGTGGACGGACGGTATACTGATCGAGGCGGAAAAGGAAACCAATGTACAATATCGGACGACGGGAAGCAAACGGCAACATGGAGAGTAGATCTAGGAAGTATTGTCAGCATCAGTCATATCAAAATCTACCATAGGACTGATAATAAACCTAGTATGTAGTATTGTTCATCTGTTGCCATATAGATTGATACTGAGTGGCAAATTAAAAAGTTCCTATCTTGAAAACTGTAAGAGGATTTATCTGGATAAAGGGTGTCCCCTTTTAGCAGCCGCCCGCCTGCCATTTTCACCATGTTTTTCTCGAGGAAATCCCGGTTAACAAAAAAAAAAAAAGATCTGCCTTTAGGACGCTAGGATCAACAAAGTTTCTGTCAGGTTTATAACCCTATTATATTATAATATTGCACGACAACTGTGTTTCGTATTTGATGTTGCTAAAAAAAGGGGCCTTCATGTATATATATATATGTTACTGGTTTACTATGAAAACCGTTGAGCGGCAATAAAATCAATATGGAGTTAGATGTGACCTTTGTACACATATCAGAAATGTGCATATTACTTTGACTTTCGATTATCCAGAAAATATTATCTCGTAAAATATCATGTTCTCATAAACTACCTTGGGATGAGTAAGAATATTTCCATTGTGATGTGACTGGTCAAAAATAGTGCAATTTTTTTTTCAAAAATGATTGTTGAATGACAAAAATATGTGGCAAGTCATCAGAAAAGTAATGTAAATATAAGGTATAAATTTATTTTTTGAGAATTCAAGAGGTACATGAACTAACGCGCTCCATGAAATACGCCGGCGTGAAGCGTCGTAGTTCATGTCCTTATGAATTCTCAACAATTAAATTCATCTCTTAAAATACCAGCAGTTAAACTTAGTCATTTTTAAAGAGAGAGGGGGGGGGGGGCTAAAATATTGCATATCCTTAAAGTGATGAACTAGTAGAAAGAATAAACAGGAAGATTCTTAACATGCTTACTAAAACAATAAATAAAAGTCAGAAAGATAAGAATAGGAAATTACCATTTGTAATGCTAGCACGTAGGTCATCAATTCAAGAAAGCACCAGAGAATCTCTCTCATTTATGATGTCTGGACTCGAACCCCCTTTTCCCGTTGACTTATAAGTCAGAACTCAAGACAAGAAAATAGTGTCTGATTATGTTCTAGATCTCATGACAAAACTGTGGAATGTGCATGGTGGTGCTCGTGAGAATTTAGTAAAAGCGAGTGACCGTCATAGGAGATATCGAATACTAAATGGCATTTTTCATAATAATTGTTAGGCCATTGTCTACGGATTTTTCCGTTTCCCGATCATGACATGGAGCACACGGCGGGTGGGACCGGTCGGCAGGGGATGCTTAATCCTCCTAGGTACCTGATCCCACTTTTGATGTTTTAGAGGTCCTTGTTTGCCCCGATCTTGATTCGTATTTTTTTTATTGACTTTTGAGCTTGATTACTATCCATTATCTCCATTTTTGATGTTATGACTTAAAGACTAATGACCAGACATTTTCTCAAGGAGATTGAGTTTTACTTATTATTTATGTTTATCCGGATAATTCCTCTATAGTTTTCAACATAAAAACTTATGTTGTGAATTAATTGTACACATATCAGAGATGTCCATATTACTTGAAATTTGAATCGCAGAAGTATCCATTCAGAGCCCTTTCAGTTAACTGAACGCATAATTTTCTCTTGTGTGCTTTATTGAATGAAGTGTGTTAAAACATAAATTCTTATGTATATGCTGTATAGAAAACGTAAAAATGACTTCTTATATAGCAACACGAATACGGACGTAAGGAGCAATGTTGAAAATATTCAGGTAACGACCCTTGCAACTTCATCTTTTAAAGATTTCACACTTTGTCGTCCAACAGGACGTGCGATTTTGTTTTGCATTGTCGTTCAAAAATAATGTATCAGGTCCAGTAAAACTGTATGCACCAAAGTTGGTATCTTGTTCCAAAATCATGCATATCCGGAACATTTATCATAAAAAAAATGCAAAGACCACACATACACATTGTCAAGTGAACACAAACACACATGTATAAATAAACCAAAAGTCTCTTATGAGACTGTAGCTCTACTGGTTGTACTTATAAAGGAAGATAACAGTAGCACTTGGACTTGATTTAACAGCAATATATAGAATAATGATCCTTGGTTTAGTCTCTTTTTGTGACAAGATTTATTGCAATCAGACTAAAACTGTAGGAGGAGTAGCCTTTTAAAACAATTATACAGAAATTTCGATTTAAGTAACCATGGCAACATCATTCAACAAAATCAAAAAACAATAACATCAATTATGTATCTAAGTGTAGTCTACTTGTATGCCACGTCATACTGAAATCAGACAAAAAGTGTAGGAGGAATAGCGTTTTGAAAGTATTTCAAGAAAATTTCTATTTTTAATAACCATAACAACACCGTTCATCGAAATCCAAAACTGATACAGAGAATTATGTATCTTAGTGTAGTTTACTTGTGTGCTAAGTAATACTAAAATCAGACCAAAACTGTAGGAGTAGCATTTTGAAGGATTTCAAGGACATTTCAATTTTTAGTAGCCATAGCAACAACGTTCATCAAAATCAAAAGTCGATATAAAGAATTATTATCTTAATGTAGTCGAATTCTTTGCCAAGTAATACTGAAATCGAACAAAAACTTTAGGAGGAGTAGCGTTTTGAAAGTATTTCATAGAAAATTCTATTTTTATTAACCATGGCAACACCGTTCATTGAAATCAAAAACCGATATACAGAATTATGTATCTTAGTATAGTCTACTTATGTGCTAAGTTATATTGATATCAGACCAAAGCTGTAGGAGGAGTAGCATTTTGAAAGTATTTCCCAGAAATCGCTATTTTTAGTAGCCATGGCAACACCGTTCATTGCAATCAAAAACCGATATACAGAATTATGTATCTTAGTGTAGTCTATTTATGTGCCAAGTTATATTGAAATCAGACCAAACTGTAGGAGGAGTAGCGTTTTGAGAAATTGTTTACAAACGGACGGACGGACGGACGACGGACACCTTACTATCGCATAAGCTTTTCTGGTCTCTGACCAGTAGAGCTAAAAATGTGACAAAGAAATAAATAAATGGGCAGACTGACACAAATGTTCCATTTCCATATCCTGGTAGCGCTCCTTAAGACCGAGAGGAAACGCGATTAAAGAATATAGATTGTTATTATTTTCTTCATTCGTTTTAGGCCCAACTGTTTACGTAAGACGATTTGCAGGATTTTTCCTTTATGTTTCAAACACTACATTAAAAGAGGACGGTCATGTTTGTTTCCACGCGATACAGAGAGTGAATGGTACACCAGTGGAGGACCAAACGATTTATTGTTCTGTTCAAGGACGATATGTAATATTCTACAATGAGCGAAGGCCGGATGTGACGTATCCAAGTTACTATACACCATATGCATATACTGATTTGTGTGAATTGGAGGTTTATGGTAAGAATGCGTATATACAAAAATCTTCAATATCAGTAAAGCTCATTAGACTATAGTTTTAAAAAAAAAATGTTTTAAATTAAACAATTAAATTATCATCATTGAAAAGGATGTCGTGACCCAAGATATTACGGAGACAATTGCGACCAATCATGTCCAGCAGCATGTCAAGAGCGGAGGTGTGATGTCATTACAGGCGACTGTTTGGGTTGTATAAGTGGATATCAAGGCTTAAAATGTCGTCAAGGTATGTTAAGATATCTTATAATGCTTGGAAATATATCCAAACATGTCATCTTTGATATGAAATATCGGAGATTTTATTTCTAAAAAAGTTTCATGGAAAGATGAAAATTCCACAGTACATTTTCAGTGTTAAGTAGGTCAAAGTAAATCAAATTAAATTTTCAAAGTATTTGGATAAGTACATTACATCTTACTGCAATAAACAATAGTTAACTATGATATGCAAGAGTTGGATAAGTTTTTCAATCATTTATCTGTTGTTGTTGTACACAGGTTGTTCTGCATTGAATGAAGTTATTGTTATTTCAGTGTGCAATGAGCAAACGTATGGACCACAATGCGCTTTGTCCTGCGGAAACTGTAGATGTGGGTATACCTGTCACCATATTAATGGAACCTGTCTGAACGGATGTGACGAGGGAGTGGAGGGAGAGAAATGTCAGAATGGTAAACCTTTTCTAAGCCTTGCAAAATATATAAGCCTATAATGTTGATTACTTTATTTTCATTAATACCTATAAATGTAAAAAATGTATTGCCACCTTTAAAAAAATTGTTTGGTTGCCCTCTCCCGACCAACTGGCTAAAAAGGGCCCGACTCAAAACTTATTTTAAACTCCAGGAAGCAATTATTTTTTATGTATTTTGGAAAAACGATTTTAAAAATTCATCATTGAAATTTTCTGAGAAAAAAAACTTCTCATCTACCTACCGACCCAATTTTTTCTTTCTGGGTCGGGAGAGGGCAAATAAACATTTTAAAGTTGACCCAATCTGAACTTTGATGTTGGAGGCACGCGATCCAGTTACATGTCGCCCGATGTAAACAATACACCTTTCAGTCGATGGGGTTGTCCCTAAGTGACCCAAGTATGGAATGTCAGAAAATATTCTGTCAGTGAAATTTCGGTAGCCATTACGTCCACTGAATCATCTTAAATCGAGTTATATTTCAGTGGCTTTCCGGTTATATATTATTATTTTGCTTTTAAATTTTTAAAGTTTTTTTTAGCTCTACAGGTTACAGACCAGTACATTGTCTGTCTGTAAACAATTTTTCAAAATACTACTCCTCCTACAGTTTTAGTTCGATTAATAATAATAATTTATAATTTGGCACACAAGTAGACTACTCTGAGATACATAATACTTAGTATCGTGATTACTTCACAGTTATCTTACAGTGCCTGAAACGTTCTACTTTCCCATTTTCCGTTCGCTCACCGTGCGTTCACCGTTCGTTCACCGTTCGCTCTCCGTTCACAGTTTTGCGTTCTGCGTTCACCGTGCGCTCGCGTTCACCGTTCACAAAGCGTTCACCGTTCGCTCTCCGTTCGTTCACTTTGCGTTCAGCGTTCACTTATTGTTCAGTCATCACTGTCATTCGGAACTCTGAAGTGAAAGGACTTATCTTTTTTTGTAAGTAAGGATTTACGGGATTTGAAATTTAATAATTCACATATCGTGTTCAAAGGATCATTATTTTATTGGAATAATAATATGTACAATATGTTTTATTATTCTAACTAAGCTGTTAGGTTTCACACCTGCACAGTGTCCCTTTCTCATAATAAGGGGGGTCTTAATCATATTGAATGGCAAACATATAAAGTTAGTGTAAAGAAAGGATTTTTTTCTCTCTAACAATAGACTTTATATATGCGTTGTAGTGTATTGCATTTAAAAAAAAATAGTTTTTAACTACACTATCAGTTTAATTCGCTCCAAAGATATTTAATTAACTCGATATCCGCAGTACTATTTATATTTCTCAGAACTAGTTCTAATAATTTATTTCTATAATAATTGAAAAAAAAAGTGTTAGTAATAAATACTTTCGTAATTTTGCTGCAGTTGGTAAATTAATTGACATAGATTATTATCCCTCCATTAACGATTCGTCGTCTTTATCAGAACAACAAAATGTTGCAGTGCTTGAAGTACCCGTATATTACCCGTATTTAAATTTGAGCCGTCCCATGCGAAAAGGGCCCTTATGTATTTTGACGTCATAATGAGAAAAACGCCGGTAAAGATAACGTCATAAAATGCAAGTTGCGTATGTTACATATTTTTCCAACTTTTTACCTGAGCGCTACCAACTTATTTTCATTGTGCGTATATATCATTTAGAGTCAATAAAATATCAGGGAAAAAGAAAATATGAATTTTTAGAGCTAAGTTCCATATAAATGGACATTTCCAATATTGAATATTAAATTTTGTTGATATAATTAGGTTTAGTTTTTCTTATCCAATTTTTAATACATTGAAAGCAATTGTACATGTACACAATCGAAATATACGTCTGCATGTACACATCCTTTTTAACACAAATACATAGTAACCGAATTAAAATAATTAACAATAAATGGATAAAAAATTCTTAAACCGTTCCCAGCATTTAGGTTTATATATGCGATTAAAATTTTGTTCAGCTCTACATGTAGCAAATGACGAAGTTTGAAAAGATTGATTCTTTGTAACGCATTAAATTTAATGAAGAAAACATCTGATTTTTTTTCAAAACAACAGTTATTATGTGTGTATAAATGCGATTGACGATCTGTCTCGTCACGGTGATTTGCAGGTCAATGTGTTTGTTGTCTCATTCAAGTAAAGAATCGGTTTTTACTGTTTACGGAGACAGCCTAGCTTGTGGTTGAACAAGACTAATGTGTTTGCTACGATATATATTTCTTGAAATTTGAGAATAAAATCTAGTATCATTTGTTAAAAGTCTTGGACCAGGAGGAAAAAAATGAGAAAAAAGTAAATGCTGCAACCCCCCCCCCCCAAAAAAAAAAAATGACCAGATTTTCTTTATGCATTATATGGGAAGATTTGAGTTTGCTATTAAAAAAAAAAGGGGGGGGGGGGTAGAGGTGGGTGCAATTGGCCATTCAGTAAACATCTTCATTCTATATCATTCAATTACCAGTGAAACATTATGTATGGACACCCCTGGGTCAATATAATACTGGAAATTAAATCTGAAAGATTGAATATAGATTTATTTCTCTGTAATATTGCATCTGATTATTATTTTAATTTCTTCCAAAGATGCAGTGTTTGTCAGAATTAAAGGTTACGAAAATAAATACTTTTTTGTGTAGGAAGGTTTGCGATAAGTTCTGTTTAATCTTTAATTGATAAATGGGAAGAAAGACTTCTTATTTTTTTTAATGAATCATATTTGGTCATTTCTTTTGGCATGTATGTAACAATGTTTTTCAGAAAAAGGGGGGGGGCTTAAAATGACAAGTTAAAAATACCCCCCCCCCCCAAAAAAAAAACAAAACAAAACAAAACAAAGAAAGAAAAACAATGTATTTCGGTAGGGGGTTAATCCCTTTTCGAAAAAAAAGGAGCTAAAATGGCAGTGCTCAGCAATGTCGGTGAAACAACCAGAGGTTACTCAGTAGATAGATACAAGAATATCCAATGCGTACAAAATTTATCAGACCTCGGGACAAGGGGCGGTTCACAAATACTAGTACAACAAGTCAAAATTTTACGAGCTTGAAACGACAAGTTGTTAGTGTCAGCGAAGAAAATATGATTTCTTTTTAAATCTGAGATAAACACTTCTATCACCGTGCAAAATCAACTCTTAAAATAAATCTTAGTTTGAATATTATGTCATTTTATTATTCAATTCGCTAATTGTTGTCAAAGAACTCTGTTATATACCAGTATCTAATTAAAATTGTATGTGTCCGGAGGCCTGACGAATTTACTGGCCACTTCCGTCTGTGTCCCCGCATGTATTTCTTGAAAGTTAAAATTGCCGTCCATCGTTAAAAGCTTTCATAAACTCGGAAACTGATTTACTCATTACTTTGGATTTATACATGTAATATGTGATTTCGGGAAGAGTCCTAAGAATGCGGAACTACTACTTCCGGCCCGCAGCGCCACTCATTTCACTGCCAACGTTCCCTCTTTCCCGATCAACGACATATCTTATTAGACCCAAACTAAGCGGTCATACCTCCACAAAATTTGAGAACAACAAAATGAATGGAAGAATATGTAGGCTTAAGTTTAGTATTTTTTTTTCTTCAAACGAAATTTAGTGAAAAGGGGGGGGGGAGGTTTACATGATGAATCAATATGACAAAAAAAAAAACAAACTTCAAACTTCAAAATATATTCTGAACTTAAAATGATCGTATAAGGATATGATGATGATATGAAAATTATATCCTCATCCTCAATTTTTATGAGATTACATGTTCACTGTAAGACATACAAATATTGGCCCGCTTATAACTCGGTACAGTGCAAATAGGCGGTGCAAATATTGTGACGGTTTACGCCAATATTACAGGGAATATGACCAACTTTAAAATAATGTTTGTATGCCCTCTCCCGACTAAGGAAAAAAAATTTGGTCGGTAGGTAGGTGAGAATTTTTTTCCCCCCAGAAAATTTTGATATCAACGCTGAATTTTCAAAATCTATTTTCTGAAATGCAATAAAAAATGCTTCCGCCAGTTAGAAAGAGTTTTGAGTCGGGCCATTTTTAGCTGGCGGAGAGGGCAATCAACCAATCTTGACAAATGGTCTAATATGTACAATTAATATCGTAAGAAACATACATTACCCATGTAAAGGGGGGGGGGGGAGGGATTGTCTCGGCACTTATTATTTGCGTGTGTCAATATTTACCAATGTAGGACAATGAATACATATATATGTTCAGTATCGTAGGTACATACTGCCCCCCCCCCCTTCCCGAAACTTCATTTATTTTGTCAGAAAACCTCCTCAAACTTCATTCTTTAACTTGTCAGAAAATTTTAACTGGATTGTGATACTGCAGATCCTCCCCCCCTCCCCCTCTTGCCGATCAATTTTCTGTATCCGCCCTTCAAGCATTCTTTCATAAATTCATCTAGGTCATGAACAAAACAACAAAAATTATATCCTTATGATGAAAAATTATCAAACAACGAACTCTATAATTACAAGGAAGACGCAATATTATCAGTCTTATCTTACGGATTCTTTTTAAAATGTTAAACAAAATATTTCATAAACTACAAATAAATAAAATACAAGTCTGTAAAACATCTGAACAAATTTCTTTTATTTGTTTGTTTTTTATTTAAATATTTACTTTTCTCTGAACCGTATATCAGAGCAATATTCACGTCTACAGTGTAACATGACGTCGCGAGTGTATAACGTTATCATTTTCGAAACAAAAAAAAGCATACCGGGTATTTACCGATATAAAACCATTATCTGTGTTTTATTTATGAGAAAACTTAAATAATTTTTTTATCGGATTTTTTAAATCATGTGTGTTACAACTGACCGAAATGGACATTTATGTGACATGCAAAAATGTCGACACTCTTAAAATGTACATGTAACTTACGTCTAATATAGAGTTCAAAACACCTCTTCTTTATAAAATTAAACAAATAACAATGAAA